CTCCGCTTCATGTCCCGTCAGTCGACAACAGATAAAATGTGCGCCGACGCACTTGCCGATAAGCTGGACGTCTCTGCAGGGCTACTGGGACCACCCGAGAAGAGGCAGCGCATTGATCCATCCCTTCCACTGAACTTCTCCAACAAGATGAAATTCGATGAGCTCGGCTTCAAGCGCGCACCCCTCAACGGCTTAGACTACAGTACAAACAAAAATATGTCCGATTTGAATTACAATGGGCTAGCCGTCGATTATGTGGGATTCAATGGTCAACATAAGGTATTCGGTGGCGATATCAACCGACCCGCAAATCCTTCCCCAAATGCCATAAGTCCCCTCTCAAGTTTGACCCACCTCTCTGGTCTCACCGGTCTATCACAGTCTCCGCTGGCTATAAGTTTCAATGAACTGACCACAAACCTAAATCTATTGGCACAACTGAATCCCAGTCTTGCGGCAATGTCAGGACTGAATAGTTTTTCAACCACTGCCAATAGCTTGCGAAATTCAAAACCGAGTGGGCAGCCCCCGTTGCAAGTGCAAAGCCCACGCAGTGATAGTGGAGACCGAACACCAGGACTGTCTGTTAAGAACTGGGCTAAGCAGAAGCCATTATCTACCGGGCCAAACGATGTCAGTTGCAGCACTAATTTAACCATTAAAAACGAAGCAAAGGGAGCAGATATAAAAAGTCCAAGTCCATCAGCAGCGCCCTCGCATCTAGGTGGAATTATCTCACTGACTAATTTGGCTGAAGACCCTTTGCTCTACTGGCTAAAATCTCAGCAGACGATGCTCGGACTAAACAGTCTATATCCCCCAACGACCCCAATGGGCATGACAAGTCCACCCATACGCTCCTCCACGCCACAGCACATAATCCAACATGCCCAGACACCACCATTGCCATCTGCACCATTGACACCTTCATCGACTCCATCCGGCAGTCTCGACGAGAAGAACGCGGCTTGGTACAACTGGTGCAAGGTTTTTGGTGCCAGCCTTCACACACTAAACCCAAACTCTGCGACGCTGGCTGCACTGCAGGCCAATTCACTGCAACATCAGCCTGTATCAGGTGCCTCCGATGCCACTGACATGGCTGATGCGTCGAAAGGGCCTTTCGATAATATTCTCTACTCTCATCTTACAAAAGAGTCTGAAACGCCGTCGGTCCGTAGCCTGTCATCCAACGAGCACAATCAAATCGACCAGATAGAAGCTGACGAGGTGACAGACCCGGATCTGGATACAGAAATAGAAGCAGACGTTCCCGGTAAGCCGGAAGATCTGTCAGCATCCGCAAAAAGAATAACTCCATCTCAAAGTCCGACAACATCATTGGTTCCGGAAGGCCATACTTCCCAGCCTTGTGGTAAAATGAGCACCACCCCGTCTGAATGCGTTAGTAGGCCCGAAAGTGTGGGTGGAGACTGCAAAAAGATCCTCGACAACATGCTATACAAAATAGGTGGCATCAAGTCACATATGCCTATGATGGCAGATGCACACTGCGAGTCAGAAGTAAGTTTTACCAATGAACACAATCAGCACTCCAACAACAACGATGTTAGCGCCAGCAACAATAACAATAACAACTCAAACAAAACTGACGAAGAAGAGAAGGCGAAATATTTAGACTTAACTGCCGACATCGACAACGAAGACGTAAAGGCCATCAGGCATGGCGAGAAGTTTCTGCAGTGGCTGGAAAACTGCAGCAATCCTCGGGTGACAGCTGTGCAACTGATGCAGCTGCGATTTTTGATCGCAGCTATAAAGTCCAGCAACGAGCCTCAAAGTGCAGAGAAACAAAATAAGAGCCTGCTGGAAAACGAGGAAAACACCGAGGAAGACTCAAGCAGGAATAAGATCAGACGACGCAAATAGGACAAGCCCAAGTTGGCGCCTTCGGAGCCAGCCACGGATATTCCTAGAACGAGTGCACAGCGAGAGGCAATTGCCAAAGCCTCTTACGGTTTGAAATGCTCAAGGCTGGGACTGCCGTACGAAGGTATTGGCAGCCTTGGTAAGACACCGGCATCTTTAAGGTGTCAGACAACCTCACCCGCTGTTTACCAATCATCGGCCACCCTATTGAGCTCACTGTTCTTCCCTCCCTATGAATTTGTACATTGTGACCTCGATGATGACGACCCGAACGACTGCCAGATAATAGGCGAGTATCAGCAGTACGATGAACTAAGTTCCAGCAGTTAGAGCGAACCTTAGTTTTATTACAGAATCCTTACACATATTGTACTACATTTCGCTTCACGCTGTGCGTCTACAGACTATTTGGTTTTTTGTTGGTAACATAACGCAAAACAAAACATTTTTCGACTTACATTTTACTAATTAGTCATATGATAAAAATGTATATATTAACACTGTCTATTTGTAGCTATTATAGTTAATTTAAACAAAGAAAAGTTTATGTTTTATCAGATTCAATAGAAAAATGGTTATAGCATTTATTTTTTTGTTATAAAACTCTCCATGTGCAAGGTGGTATGAATGAATAAAAGGCATTTGATATCAAATGTTTTTAAATTTCATAAAACTACTGAGAAAATAACGATAACAAATGTGCTCATAAGAATTTTCCTGATTCCAAATTATTGCGATATTTAAATAAAAGGCATTTACAACTTTGAATGTAATAATTTTAAATACATGTTTAATAAAAAAATATTAGATAATTTTAGTAAAATGGTTTTCTTTGAACATTTTAAGGGCAAACAGAAAACTATCCGAATTGGTAGCCCCTTTAGGCATCAACCAACACCGTCATCAACGTACACATTTGAATGTTTATGTACATATGTATATGTTACATATATACACATTCATGTGTACCTAGTATGTACATATACTCAAATAACTGGAAAGCAAAGAGTTGCTGCAGCTCAGATGATATCTTTAAACCGATCCCTAGGCTCGTTTTTAAAATAATAGATATTTCCTTACATCAGTGGGAAGGGGGGTACCACAAAATCTTAATTAACCACTCAGTGTTGAGGATACTGCAGCGACCCACGTTCCCTATCTTTCTTCTTGCTCTAAATATATTTCAGACAATAATCCATTTAGATTTTGCAATATTTTTTCGGTAATTTGAGTAATGAGCATCCTTTATATGAAAGTACTACGTAAATTTCTTCAGGACTTATAGTCCAAAAGAGATTGTAAAAAGTTAAATGAAAGTTTGTTACAGATTTTTTTACTATCAAATGTATAGTAGAGACAGAAGCAATTAGAGCATTATTCTTCACTCGAAACACAACTAATATAACCTCTAAAGGTCTAAAGGTAACATTTGAGCTCTATAGGTGCAATACCGAGGATAGTTTGGTAGGTCAATTAATTTTTAACTCAAACTACGCAGTCAGTGTAACAGAGGTGACAGAAGTGGAAAAATTCTTTGAGCGTTTGGAGCTTTCGATACTTCAACTTTTAAGAAAATCGGAAAAAGTCTTTAACTAGTCTACGCCAACATACTACCGACATTTTTTTTTAAAGTCGGCTCTGTGATTTCTTTCATTACATACAAACATATGTATGTATGTTTGTAAATGAGAAAGTGCTCTGCGATACTGGTGACCTCTAGCCAATTTTAAATTTCGTTGCCTCTCACAAAAAAAAAAACATTTATTTGAATCAGTTGGAAAAAGTTACAAATAAACGTTCCTTATCATTAAAAAAAGACCCCCCAAAGCTAAACACTAAATATGTCATGAAGATATCTTGATTATTTTAGCAAGCTCGAGATGGCACGAGATACAAAACCCGGAGATTCCTGAACTGAGTCTGCGTGTTCGCCTGTTTTTCAACGGACGTTTTATAGCATACTTGTAGTCCAGGAAATCACTTTGACTATATCTAAATTCTTACGTGCTATATACAGTATATACATATGTATACCCTTGCAGCACAACGAAAAGGTCAAATCTTGTCAAAATTCCAGGCAAACTGCTCTATGTTATGCAAAAAATTATACAAGAGCATAACTCTCAGCTGCGCTATAATTATAATTAGTTATAGTTATAGTTGAGTGAGTTATTTTCTGATATTTAAACGTGACAAACTACTGTGTCGAAAGTGCTCGTGAGCCATCATAAAAATTAAAAGTGCCACTAATTGAAGAGCGCCTCTAAAATGGGTAGAGCTGCAACTGATCGATTAAGCAGTATCTATCGACTGTTTTGTAGCTCTGTCTCAAATATGATAAGAAATGTCTAAGGTTTACTTTGATGGCGATTTTTAAATGCCTATTTGAGTTTTTTCAAAGAGAAGTCAAAAAATCTCAAATGACATAGAGGATTTTTGTATTTGTAAGAAAACTTATAAATCACCCCACCTATCGTCATATTGTGTCACTTGTGTCAAAAAAATACGCCAGGTGGTGTTTGTTCTATCGAAATAATATATCGAATTTATTTGTTCGATGGAGTTTGGATAGTGTATCGAAAATAAGAGCCTATTTGCGATCTGACAAAAGCTGACCGCCTTAAATTCGGAACCGGTTCCAAGCATATTCAAACATTAGGCGCGAAACTGTATGTCTATGGTTGGCTTAAATCCCACAACACGTAGATTACGGACAAGTGATTAATTACCATACGACACTCATGACGGAGTGAATAAGTATTAACTAGGGCGGCTCCCACGAGAATACTAACTCGCATGTGTTTGAAACAGCTGGCCTAAAACTCTTTGGTAATTCACAACAATACTTTTCAGTCAGTGGATTACTTGAAATGGTCTGTCTTTAGCGCATTGTGACACAAACTATTTAATATGATTTCTAAGAATATGATCTCATATTTTAGCCCAATTGAAATATTATAGTTCTAGTCTCAAGGAAATAGTCTCGTGCAAGCCACTCTAGTTAGGGAATTCAGGTTGAGGGAACTCTTAACTTTGCCACCTACTTACATATGTATGTACGTAAATCTAATAGATATTTATATTTTAGTATACAATTCATATTTTCTTACCAAATTAACTTGGTCTTCAAGCGGTTCATATTGAATAAAGTCAGCGACAAACTTTGAAATTTCCTCAATACTTGATATTAGCTCAGGGTAAATAAAGGCCGTAGGTCTAATTGTGGTACACACAAACTTCTGCAAAGAAAACAATTGTGGTTTATTTTATAAATATGAATTTGTTGTTTGAAAATTTACCTGTACTCTACATTCGTTAGGCAAGGCCAGAACCATTGGCCTTCGCTTGGGGTATATTAGAACAAACTGCTTGCGAAAGTTCTCAGCGTAGAGAAGGAGAAGTCTTTCCTTTGGCGATAACGTATAGTACGAGGGAGGATAGCATTGTGGGCTATTTTGGTACTCGTCCGCTGTCTCAGGAAATGACAAGTCAATTTTCCCGATATTCAGAGCTGGTTCACCTTCTGATAAACTAAATTCACTTTCTTCATAGGTACCCATATCGTCTTCACAAAACTCCTCAGAGCCCTGTTCAGATTCAAATTGACCTTCCGACTGCTCCGACCTACGAAGCTCAATCTCTTTTAACTTCGCAGCATGTCGCTCTGGGTCTATAGTGCTGGTCACCTTTTTATACTTCTGAAACAAAACCTTCGGCATGTTTGCGTCTTTATCTCTTTTTTGGTGGTTGTTGTTAAAAATAATAAACTGAAACTTTGGTTTCTATGACAACGGCGTATGTAAGAAATTTGTTCACTCTGTATTATAATTGTTTGAATTGAAATAAGAGACAAATTCATACATCAAAAATGTAAGAGCTTGCTTAGAACCCATGTCTATGAGCACAAATCACAATATCAATATTCAACAATATGCTGGCATCACATGGGTTTATACAGAAGGAAACTCGTTTTCTACTTCTTACTTTAAACTTACTTTACGTGGGCGTAAATTTGGTTCAAGACTCGCACATCTGGCTGCGATTACATATTTGATACATATTTTTGATTTAGCCTCGCATGTCTCTGAGTAACGAAGACAGAGTTTGCACTATTTGTATTGCTTCAATAAAACCTGGCATTCAAGAATAATTAGCGACAAATTTGTCGACAGAGACTACGAAAGAGATCGGCGCAGTTTATCCGTTTATGGCTGGCGCTAGGATTTATTTGTACTTCCTTTCGCATTTAAATGGCTAGCGTCTACCTGGGCGACGCACTTACATTCATGAAACCAATTGCATTGGCGCAACCATGTTTCTGTTCCCATCGTTGTTAAGCGACTCAATTATGCTCCTACAGTCCAATTCTCACATCGTTTGGTTGTCCTGGTCCGCTACCTGTAATGAAGCGGGCCAATGCATGAGTGATGTCGGAGAAGTACTATTTATTGTTTCGGTTTGCCATTTAATTGCCACTGCTCGCGCTAAGTGTTCCCAAGAAACAACGTTCAATCGAGCACATGTCGTCCTACCCGGTTTCTAGTCTTGACTTCGGGCGCCTGTGCCCCGAAAGTCTAGAGTGTCAATAACTACCGTTGTCTGAGCACCGTTGACTGCGCAATTTTTGTATGTGGTTATGTGAATTAACGCGAACCAGCAGTGTGCCAAGCCTGAAACTGTATAAAAGGTAGCTCTTTCAGGATCAGCAAATCATTTTGAAGTGGATCTCGAAAGGAACACATCGCAGCAAGGCACAGCACAGTTCACAATGCATTTTGCGAAAATAATTATTATACTGTTAACAGTACTGGAAAGCAGCTTGGCATTATACATCAAAAGGGTAGAGAAAGTGCCAGAAGCTGCAAGAAGAGCTGGAGGCAGCGTAAAGGGACGGAAAGATGAGTGGGGTGTCTTCCAGAGCACCCTCGGACTATCACAAGAAAAAAGTATGTATGCAAGTTACTTGAAAGTTGTACCTAAACTAATGAAATTTATTTACTTCTTATAGTCGATCTTCTAAAATCACAAAAGGACCAACAAGGAACAAAAGAATTACTGAACCGTTTTATTATGGAAAACTCGAAAATGTTGATGCCACAAAAATCAAAGAATAGTGACGAGTTTACGAGTCTCTACCGATCTTTGCTTAAAAAGTTAACAGCTTCAAAGGGTATGCTCAAAACCTCTCTGAACTTCGAACTGAACGATGACGACAAGCCTCTTAAACAAAAGAAGAGACCTCGCCGAAAAATTGCAATCAAGATGGTCTCCGACATGCCATCCCAAAATGTTGACTACTTATTGAAAATGTTTTATCAGAAGCACAATATTCGTTCTGATTATGACGACCGAGATGCCCAGAATGAAGTTGATTACGACAAGCAAGAGCGTACTTCAACGGACCCTGATAAGGATACTGAATATGACTTTGACAATCTTTATGATGATGAGGGCGATGTTGGCCTCACAGCTAAATCACGCCAAAGCTCGGAGTATGGATCCTTCCAAGATCTAATTTTGCAATCTAAATTGATTGAGTGGCAGCGAGAGAATGAGGAAACCAAGTTACATAGCTCAAACAATGACCACTTTATTTGAACTATTCAAGTATTTGCATAAGTTGTGTTAATTGAGGGCAGTGGGCGCTGCAATAGGGGTTCATATGCTGGCATGTGAATATATGTGAAGACTGAAGCAAGGAAACATTCACAGAAATGTCACAAGATTCATTCATTGATTTCAGTACTTTTAAGATTTGCATTCTACTGATTAATATAAAATGTCCAATGTGTATAAATAATCTTAAAGTTCCAGATAGTCAAATGTACAACGTCTTCATAAATAAAATAAATTATTTGTTAGCTATTATAAAATAATACATATACAAATATTTACGAAATTTACAAAAAAACAAAAAAACATACGACACATTTAGAATCAATACCTAAAACACTGGTACTTTTAGTAACAATTATACCTGGTACTCGCGAAGTGAAGCCACAGTGGCACCACAACAGCCGAGTAGGTCTATATACATACATACATATGTACATACATATGTATACTATCGACTGATATTAAGTTACCTGGAAATGGTTGCCTAACCGCGGAAGTAATTTTTAGCTCTCTCTCTAGCTGTCTTGAGTCTAGAATTTTTGCGAGCTTTGACGGTTTTCAAACTAGAATCAGTTCCATTTTTTACTTGATGGAGTGTCTTGATATATTTATTATGAGTACTGCGGTATCTTATAGTAATAATAAAGCTCTTAGGGTGACGCGAAATGTACATATATTGTGAAGAACTACAGCTTCTCTCCACTTATGTTAACAATATTATAGTAATTGTGGTCGGGGAACCGCTCCAGTTCGATGTAGTCCATTTCGGTGTGCAGCAATTTGTCAAGCATATTAATTATTTCCCCAAATAAGGGACGCTCATGCGGATCCTGAGACCAGCAATAGTACATAATATTGTAGAGCTCTCTACGACAGTGCTCCGGCTTTTCCAGGCGATATCCATCTCTTACCTGTTCCAGAAGTGAGTAATGCATATTAGTTTCAATTTAGCTTATACAAATATATATCTTTAGCAAACCTTTTTCATAACATCGGCAGCAGATATACCGGGGTAAGGCGTCGATCCGAGCGTGACAATTTCCCACATTAAAATACCAAAACTCCATATGTCTGATTTGATGGAGAATATATTATCGTACAGTGATTCAGTTGCCATCCATCTGAAAATGTATGGAATAATAAGACACGAATATAAGTCCGTACAAATTCCACTCCCACCCATCTAGGCAGAGTTTCTTTTTGCTGATTCCCATTCCGATTACCATTTCTTTAGCACAAATGTACTATATAGGGAATCGGACTATCTGCTGTAACACCATCGAATATTTTCCGGTCTTGCCAGAATAAAACGTTACCTTATTGGTAGCTTGCCCTCGCTTTTTCTTTCGTAAATCTTTGATGTTATAATATCCCGAGCAAATCCGAAATCAGCCACTTTGCATGTGTGATCGTCAGAGATGAGAATATTCCTCGCAGCCAAGTCTCGATGAATAATCTATAATAAAAATATAAATCTCATTGTTTTTTGATGGGTTTTCTATTTGGGATATAGCCACACTTACACCACGGGACGTTAAATAATCCATTCCCTTCGCAATTTGGTACATAAAAGAAGTTAAGTCACATGATGTCAATATATTCGATTTTCCATGTGTATTCCCATAGTGTCTGAAAAAAAATATAATATACAAAATTATAGTTAGTAAATAAGAAACAACATACAACAATATAATAACATACTTAATCGTAATCGTATAATCGTATTCATATTTTTATTTCAACCAAGATTTTGTTCTTACCGTTCGGCCCTTGAGTTTCGTAAATATGATTGTAACTTCCCTCGATTTACGTACTCAATTATAACAAATGTCGGATCTTTGTCCGTGCAGCAGCCCAATAGTCGAACAACATTGACATGGGGCTCCAGCGACTTCATTACCTTAAAATCATACAGAAAACAATTATGAATAAATGAAATTAACGAACAATTTAATATATGCATGGTTGTATTGTTTCTTTTTAAACAAAATGTTACTAGAAAAATATAGAAATAATTAACAGTTGGTCCGCACTCGTTTTGAACTGGTTTTCGGGGCTATGGTTTTTGTCAATCACTGACCTTTAACCTAGCGAGTTCCTACATTCTTACATATTTGCTGCTTTAAGAATAAAGGGGATGACATTGGAGGCAAGAATATTAATTAATTAACATAAACATTTAAAAACAAAAAAGAGAGTGGAGTCTGCATCCTTGCTACAAACTCAGAAATGGCCAATGCGCATGTTTTCATTTTTTATAGAGATTTATTTAGCGGCATTGGCTCTCTGCACGAGAAGAGGATGCTGTGGTAACAGAGCTGTTATTTAGCTGTTACTCGGTGCTGGAATTTTCAAACAGATTTCGAAGTTTCCGCTCTTAGCAACACACCATTTAACATAACGGGGGCTCTAAGTATGTTAAAGAAGGGAACCAAATTTCCCTGATGTTCTTCATATCCATTTAACTCGGGCCGCTAGCAATACGTGTGCAAGTTTATAAATTCGAAAATTAGTTAATTTATCCCACCAAATATGCACACGAGGCGTATGTCAATTCAAGTCGTTTGTACGGTACAGTGAAATATGTTTTGATTTGGTGCAATGCGGTCGATTTTGAGTAGTGGCGTAAGCAAGGGCAATAGGCCTCAAATAGTTCGGAGTTTGTGCATACAGAAGTTTGTGGATCAAAATGTTCACAGCGGTTATAAACTGCGAGAACAAATTAGCAAATCGTCATGAGTGCAGTAAATCAAACATTGATTCCATTGCTCTGACATTAAATTTATATCCTAGAAAAAGCATAAAATGTATGTATCTTTACGCTGCGGTTACATCAATTCCTTGTAAGTATGTCTTTATACATACATACATATGTAGAGAAGTACACATCTAACGTCCGCATACAAAATGTAAACAAACTAACTGTGTTGTGTGAAATTTGTGAAAAACGGCAAAAATATCGATATTAAATAATATCGCAATATAGCAGTCGCATTATACTGTCGGCCATTAAATACCTAATCGTATGAAATGGTTAAAATGAATGGCCGATTGCTCTGGTGAAGGGACGGTGTGGACCCTATTGTGACCCAGCCTAGCAAATACCAACACTTTATCTACAATTTCTTTGCAAGCCGAGCATTAAGATCTACATATGTGTGTATGAATGTATATATGTATCTTAGGGAATTGTAATTTTCTTGTTTATACCTGAAATCACCTGCTTATATACAGAAAAACTTCTCTCTACTATCTATCCATATATATCTATATTTAAAGGTTGTTGTATTGTAAGATCAGGTCGGGTCAAACTTCGAGGTCGAAAGAAGACTCCATAAGTTGCATACATTGACTTAAATACAGCGTATAGAAATAAGAGCTGTAATGGCTCGTACTTACCTCTAACTCGGACAATAGATCCTTTCGATCAACTTCAGTGGCGCTTTCCTTTAGGGTTTTTACGGCAACAGTGGTAATGCCTTCAAAACCTAAAAAGAAATCATTTTTTATTGAAATAGTTATTAAGCTTGTATGGATGTACAAAATTCAGAATCCAAGGAAACATAGAGATTACTTACCATTTATGTCTGTGGCTTCACAGCGCCAAACTTGCCCGAAAGCACCTTCGCCCAATATGTTAAAGAACTTCAGTCGGTATCTTGGGAATTCCCAGCGATCACTGTTGGTATCGACGACCAAGCCATTTTCCGGTGCCACTGAACTGTTTCCCGACCTAAGAGTCACTGGCATTAAGTTTACTACCGGGTCAGGCCCGATAGCAGAAGCATCAGAACTGTTTATCACACTAGTTGATAATTGTGACGTTGCCTGTAACAAAACTCGATTAATATTTTATCCAATAAATAAGTGCTTTGAATTGCACTCTTTACTCACAACTGTCGGAATCGGTTGGTCCAGCTCCCAAGCAACATAGCGATTGGCAAAGGCGACTGGCCCTTGCCACTGCTGCATTACAATTGAATTGCGTCCATCATCACTCAGCGTGTTTATTGTTTGGCTCTGATTAGATTTCTTTGCCAGCTCTTCCTTCTCCTTTGATTTCTTGAGGGTTTTACTAATAGCGCAAAGCCGATGACGACAAATGTAGCCGAGGAAGACAGAAACAGTTGCAACGAAGCCGCAAATAGTGACAACAATTGGAATGGTGGTAGACTTTATTGAAAAAATGGTTATGGTATTCCCACTCCCATCTTGCAGCGTCTTTGTCGATGTTTCTTGTGGCCTAGTGGAAGTATTATCTACTATGGGAGTGAGTTTGGTACGACTTTTCTCCGTCGATGAGCCTAATATCGTTGGGGCCGTTGTCTCTTTTTTTTCCTCAGAGCTAGCTTCTGTTCTGTCATTGGAGCTCGGAAAACGTGGGTAAAAGTTACCGAAAGGTATACCACTGTTGCTTCCATGAGGACCAGGCGAAAAATTGAAAGCAGGCCGGTTGTTTGGCAGTCCATTCCTGATAGACTGAACGCCGGGCAGTTGATCAAAAGAGGGAAGAAACTGCGAAATGTTGTGTACCACATTCGAGATAGATGTCTGCGGTCGATAGCCATACATATTCTCCCGCTGACCCAATATGTTGATAAAAACTTCATTTTTCGCTGTGTAGAGTCCATCGGTGACAGTTATGTATATGAGAAAGTTCTGGCCGGCCTGCAAATATCAAATCATATTCATATTCCAAAAGGCATTATTAATAATTTTACAATTAGAATTTGGTACTTTTACTTACACGACCCATCAGGCTTTCATTAAGATAGACAACACCAGTTTGTGAATCAATATGAAATGGCAATTTCTCCGGTGTGCTAGCCCCTACGTCACTTCCTTGTGGAGGCAGAAAGCGCGGCTCAATACCAAATATCAACTCATCACCATCGGGATCCTCGGCACGGACACTATCTATTATTTGTCCCACTTTTTCTGCTTCTGAAATACGCCAGTTGCGTTCACGTACATATAAAATTGGAGGTGCATTTTGATCATTAGCCTCAGCTGCAGGATAAAAAGAAAAAGACTTATTTAAAGGGAAGAAATGGCCCAGCTTTGAATATCACACATATGAATAAGAGAAAATTTCTTGTTATATTTTAGAAGTACAGAGTGTACAAAAATACATTTAAATGTTCATATGCGGGTGTGTACGAATGTCTCAGCATAGTCAAATATTCGCGGTCATGGCAAAAGTAACGAAATCGCGCCCACAGTAGGCATGGATTATTGTACGACTTCAAGAGCAAGACAATTAGTTTTGCCCACCATTTTCGCATTTGTGTGTGGTCATTTTATTATTTCATCTGCCAGGTATTGGAAGAGCGTATTGACCCCTCGGATGGTCTGTTTGTTTATTTCTAACTATTTAGATCAAAAATACATACATATCAAAATAAATGTGTCTCACCTTTGGATATTAAAGATAAGACTCCAGCTGTGGCTATTAATATTGCAATGGATAAATTCCTTCTACATGTAAAAATGTTTTGTTTACACAATTTCGAACGGCTCTGGTGATTGCAAATCCATTGGAAATCCTGGAAATCCATTGCGAAGTTTTCTGGATGTCTAAAGGACATTGGGTGCATACACTTTTGATAAAAAATAGAATAAATCACACATTTTGAGGGGAGCACTGTAGTCGCGAATGTGTACCAACGGCTTTTCAGTTAATAACGCACAATAAGTTTATACGCACTATACATAGTAGATACATACATATTTCATACGTATTATAATGTATTATATATGTTCATAAATACAAATATGAATTCATAAGCACCATGATAAGCATGAATCGGTATAGCCATGTCCGGAATTTCCATATTTCCATCAAGGGCACAAATCATGTTTAGCTTGAAGAAAATGCGTACATGTGCATACGCATACTTATATACACACACATACAAAAGTACGCTAAATAAAACGGGTCCGCGATTTCTCTTTTTAACATTTTCAGCATCGGGTGCATGGCGCAATAGTAAAACGGAACCAGTATGACTGTTCTCGTACATATGAACATGTATGTATGTACATATGTATTTATGTACATCAAATTAAAATCTATTTGTATTTAATTATTGGATCACAGAGAAAGATATATTGATGTATGTACATCTACAGTAAGAGGAAGCGGGGAAAGAAATAGCGATCCAGATGTTGTAAAATGTATAACCATTGTCTCCTAGGCCACATGCACGCAAAAAAAACAAAAGCTCATATTTATATAAACACGCATATATGTATATGTATGTACACTTAAATACATATTTCATGGATTTCGGTGCAGCTCTAAGCACGTTTATGTAGTTTAGGAATCCACTCACAGTACTAATTTGTATTATTAGTCATGCAAACGATTAAGTATTAGCATTTTAATAATTTTTTGGGGTTGCTGAATTGTTGAATTGTACACAAATAAATGCTAAAACTTCACAAAACTTTCACGGGCTGCGTATTACTTAATTCCAGTTAGGGCCATGGGCGAACGGACCGTCCGTTTGACAACTCGGAACGAACAACAACTCGCCAACACTTCGAAGAATCAACTGTCTGCCCAGTCTAGCGTCATTCGTCGCACCGCACACTCTCAAACCAAAAACTTGTTTTGGCTTAAAGCAACGAACTTTTGCTTATACCTTCTGCCTCTCTCTCTCTCTCTCCTCTCTGGCACTGCCACTCTACTATCACAAAGTTGTTTCTGTAACGCAAGCGATCATATCAAAGGTTTTTTGTTAGGTTTCTACATTGCGTATCTCCGAATATGTATAAACAGAGAGTTACATTCTACAACTCAAGCAAACTTTGCTTTCACAAAAATTCTCGTGAGTTTACATTAGTTTTTGAACAAAAATCAACAAACGCTTGCAAAGAGACTCTCTTATACTCTCTTACAGCCTACAAGCCTACAGATATACTAATTTTAAACTATTTTAAGCATATAAAATTAAAAATATATTACAAATTCTAAATAACAGAGCTCAACACCAATTATAATAATTCATTTTATTTATTAATTTAATTTATTTTCGGAGCCTGAAAAATAGGTTGATATTTTTTTTTTACAAAGTTGAAAAGTTCGTTATATCAATTATACAATTATTTCTAAGTCTTTGGTTTTACCCAAGAGTAACGACGAAAATCATCAAACTCTAAACCATATCGACCTATATAGACTCCCTGTCTGAATTGAAAATGAAAATTAATGAATCGACAAGTATCGACTGAGTTTGGCTTTCTTTGATTACTCACCTTTAAACATTAACGAATATTCAGGAGAGCGAGTTTAACTATTTATCAACTCAAGTTAATCAATTGATATGGATTAGACTGTATATATGTAGGTACTATAGTTTTGTGAATGCTTATCATCAGTCAAAGCTTACTTCTGTCTTTTAAAATCACATTATCCTTCCGGTCGATTGCAATTGCAGTGTCTCCAACGACAACGGAAAGCAAATACCAAAACAAACCAACAGCACTGAGCATACTAACGTAGGTTTAGTAAACATTTATGTAGAAGACATCTCTTTTCAACATCTCCGTCGATAAAAATACAATACAATACAAATACGTATGTATTGTTTACGAGTAATGCTTAAGAGCAGAGGCAGAGCAGAGAAACATAGTCGTCCTTCTTGTCGTCCTGACTGGCCTACGCTGTTATTAACCATGTGGCCATTATCTTATTGGCAAGTATCTCAAATCGCTTTCTGGATGTACAACAGCTCCTGAAAATGGAAACAATCCATGAAAACATTGGTTTTACTGAATTTTTGGCAGTATAAGATCCTTCTTGAGATTCTTGAGAGGCAGTGATAGTTACTGATTATTAAACTAAACTTAAAGTAACCAAAAAAAGGGCGAGGAAAAACGCTAGAAAGTTGGAAATTGGTACATACATATGTATGTGTCATCCCCATAAAATAAATCGATAGGCTATTCACAACTCAAAAGCGGCTAAATGAATTTATGTAAATATATAATGCACAAAACTTGTAAGCCCTAAATCGGCCCAGTGATAAAAAGTTACCTTCAGAGAATGGAAAACGAGGGCAAAAAGCAATTTTAGAGTCGGTAAATGTCTAAGGTCAAATATGCGATTTTGCTAATTTTAACATTTCTTTGACAAATGTACAAACGCAACATAAATCTGTAATCAAGAATTCTCTGAATCCCGAGAACGAACGATTCAATATTTACTTCGAGAGAATTAGTTGAATATTTGATAACGGCACTGATAAGCTTGCGAAGAAGAGCACATGTGTGTGTGTGTGCGTGTGTATGCTCGAATAATAATGCAATGAGAATTCATTCGAACTTGTTAGCACTGATAAGACAGCAGGTCCAATATGAGTTGTACAACCGAAATCAACAAGCTTCAGTTGCCTAGAGTATCGCTTTCAATGAACTCGGTGCTATTGTGCTTTTTTCCTACTAAACTGTGTAAATTCGTTCCAAAAGCACTTTCGCAACTAAAACAAAAACACAAGCTGTAAGTGACTATGTTTTTACGTTACTAAGCTACCATCAAAACTAAATCTATGTCATATACATAAGAGGAATATAAACTCGCAACAATTGATGTGCATTAATTCCTCCTCAGTTAAAAGGCGATCTGTCAAACATTTTTCTTATACCCTACTCTTCTTACCGTACTAACAATATTGATGACAAAATATATTGTTCTTTTCTATTCCAGTAAAGGCGACCAAATGTAACTGATTTACTGACGATTACTAATGAATACTCACTTCGAATATTACATTAATAAATGATGATTGAGACATCTATATATCGTACTAAATGTGTACCTCTAGTAGTTTTTTCACTACTTATAATCGACCATCGACTGATCATTGTGGATTCTAGAGTTCAAGTACTGCCCAAAGCAATGGAGAATAAATTTTTGACAAGTGAACTTTCCAAGGAAAAACCTGAAGAAATTAAAATACCAGCTGATCTCGAGCAGATCGTCCGATTGCCATCAAACTCTCTACTCAAGTACACATCCTACAAGGATGTCGCTATTTTGCACTTCCGTATTCCACCGGATTCTCGGGATGCTTATTTTACCTTTAAAGCATTTGAGGAATCAAAGAATGCCTTTCGTTAGTAAAACAATTACTCGAAATTTTCTATGTAATAACTAACTCATACTTTTCAGAACGAAAGTGCAAAGTTAAGGACGTTACGTTACACTTGAAGGCAAGCAGCTACCCAGTAATTAGCCCTGAAAATATTACTTTTCCGAATAACTTTCTCAGTCCTGAGCACAGGTATGATACAATTTATAATATATAATAATATAATAATGTATTATGACAACATACGATCAGATCAACTCTGTTTGATATATCTGAAAGTCTACTTGACGATATCCACGATCCCTTGATCTAGTGACTAGATTATCGTATATTTATGATGATAATTTTTGTTACCGACTGCGCTATTACGATCTAGTACATTGGACAATGCCTGCGTAATTCTTTATTTTCCATGTTTATTTTGATTCCAATTTTGTTGCAGGTCTAAAGTTTATAGCCTACAATTCCAGTCCAATGAGGTGCAACAACGTATTCATATACAGGGTCCTCACATAGGTAACTGGTTTGCCGTGGCATTTGTGAGTTGGACAGATCCAAATAATGATCGCATTGAGCAACAAGGTAAACGAATTTTAGTTTTTGAATTAAATCGTTTTAATATATATTTATTTCCCCAATGTTTATGAATCAACTGCATATCCAGGGTATATCTTAAATTAAATCGTTCTTATTTTCGATACTTTTAGGCCTCGCTGCATCATGTGACACTTTGTTGATGGCTGATATGTCTGTAAGACGCTTCCGCCCGATTATTTTAAATAGTGGTCAAGTAGATAATGGCAATCTAACGATGTTTGAAATTCTTAAGGACCCAAAGAGAAAATCTCGAGCCGACCTGACTATCGAGCATCCTGTAAATGGGAGCGCTCAAAACCAAAGACGTTCTCTGCACGGCACTCAAAAGAAACTAAAACAACTGGGTAAAAGTAAACACCTATCTGATGCTCTTAGTACAAAAACCAAAAGAACTGCTCGATTCCAAAATTTTACTCAAAATAACTCAACGTCCGGGTCGAAGCTCCACGACACTGACAGAAGCACCGAAGCCCCAACTGGCAACAATGAAACTACTTACAAATTCTTTGTGCCTGACGACGTTGGTATTGCCACGGCACGTATCTCGTTCGTAGAAGAGTGCGTACACTGTCCAGACGTTGGATTTTATGTTCAAGCAAATGCATACCCTCAGGAAAGTCTTTTTAGCGAGGCCGAACACAACAATATTCATGGTACGGTGATCCGTCCAAATCAGACGAAGGAAATCTCAATTCAGTTTTGTGTGCAGCCGAACACATGGCACTATGCCAAGCTAAAATTTGTTAGGAAAGATGAAGAAATTAAGACGGGAAAAGAAGGAGACGCAGAAACCGATCTCTTTTTAGAATCAGAGCGTCGTTTGTTGGAAAAGCTTATTGGTATACCAAAATTGGATCTGCCGGAACAAAATTTATCGTATGCCATGCAAATCGATTTTAATTTCCCAGAGCCTATCAGTGCGCAAGATGATAACGAAACCAACATATTTCACCCTTGGACGCCGACGCGCTTTCTTAATATGAATTTTTACTCACTGCTGCGACAAACATATCGCGAGTTCTTTATGTTTGATTATGATCTCAAGCCAGATGAAAATGGCACCGTCCCGGCCGTCCTTAACTTAACGACAGACTCTGCTTCAGGATTCTCATTTGATCTTGGCGAAGTTAATGATATTGGAGGCACACTGACATTCGCCGTGTCCATGAAGCATGCTCTCCATACTAATACCGATATAAAGATGCCTCCCCCCGTTCTTTCGCCAGCCTCCGAGCGTGACGGCATACTAGCTGAAAAACTGATAAGCGATTTAGAAGACACTGTCCTGGCAAAAGACCAAATACGGATCAAATCCAACAATCACAGCATACATATTGTTGTTTGTATGCAATTGGGAGAGCCCGGAGTTCCCACATGGCCGGACAAATGCCGGTACGGGCAGCGTCTGAGAAACGCCTCAAAGATAGTGAACAACACGGATAGCGTTGGTCTAATTCATGTTCCCTTTCCTGAAGGTGGACGATGGCAAGTTTATACTTCATTAAAAGCATTCATGTTTCTTTTTAACTTTCATTTAACTATTTTTTAGGTATGTGACCATGGGACTCTACTGCCATGGAGCAGAAACGTCACGTGGTACAATAAACGATAGTATCAGGAAATTCGTTGGTCATCATAAAAACCTCCTGAAGGAAATGCGCTCTCCGTGTCCCTGTGCTGGTGTTGCTAACGAATACGCTGCCTGTATAAAATCGCCAGAGTGCTTGGCTGGCATGAATGAAACGGAGATTTTAAAATGGAAGGAGTGCATGATGGATTATCAATGCACTTCCAACTACGACGACATGGCTCGCCTATATGAGATACATCACAAAACTGCGACGGAGGAACCGTTTGCAGTCAATGACTGTAACACGTCAGTGGTATTTTCCGTGTCATCGAGTCCTTGCGTGGCAGGACGTTGCGGTCAATTTGGCCGCTGTTATCACTACATGTCCGGCGGCTTTGTTTTTTCCACATGCGTATGCATGAAGGGATATCGGGGTTGGGACTGTACAGAAGATTCTCAGGTTCCTACTAATATGTCTATCCTACTGGCAACCTTGCTACTAACTTTAAGTAACTTGATCTTCTTTCCGAGCATTTACGTCGCTCTGAGTCGCCGCTTCTTTACAGAAGGCGTAATTTATTTTTTTGCAATGTTCTTTTCTGCTTTCTATCATGCCTGCGACTCGGGTGAGGAGGAATATAGCTTTTGCCTGGTAAAAATTGGTGTGTTACAGTTTTGCGATTTCTATTGCGGACTTTTGGCTATCTGGGTAACTCTTGTGGCTATGGCCGACATCCGACAACAGCTTGCTGCACCTTTGCATATGTTTGGTGCTATTTTACTAGCATTTGGAACTGAGCTCAATAAACAGAGCCTATGGGTCTTTCTCGCACCAGCACTGACTGGAATCTGCATTATTTCGACCAGCTGGGGCATTCGCTGTGGCCAAACTCGCAAAATGTACCCGACTCGTCGCTACTTGACAGTTTGGCTGCCTTTTGGCATTTGCCTTGTCTGTGTAGGCTTGGTGTGTTATGCTTTTCTGCAAACCAAACAAAACTATCACATTATTCATTCAATCTGGCATGTAGTTATGGCACTGAGCATTTTATGTTTACTGCCTTCACGAAAATCCTGTTCGGCGAAATGCTAGTATTTTGAGACTACCTGGCTTAGACTAATTAATTAAAGATAGATAGAAATGTATATACTTAGAGGTAATAAGTCCCAAATGAACTTGAAATGGCAGCTTTAATTTTCGGTTGTTTTGTTAATTATTTTATATTAAATAAACAAAGATTCCCCCAGTTCAAAAAATACTAATATAATTATGCCTACAATTTTTTAGCAGTCATAGTAATGCAGTTGCGATCCAACAGTTTCTTTCAATGATGATCTGTGAAGAATCCAAAGAAATGCTTAATCAAGGCTCGAAAATACTTATCCGCAACAGTCCCGTTCTCGTTCCCGCGAGAGTGGTTGTATGGTTTTTTTAAATATTCTCTAGTAAGATTAAATCCGGTTTTTAAATTTTTCAACATGTCTGCCTATTGGTTAAGCGGAGGGTCATGTGGTGCGTATCTCACATTCTTCTATCTTCCGAATTCGACTCTTTTTGGAGAGTTTCGACATATTTACATATTGGATTATCACAAAGAAGAAATGATAGGTTTATTTTGTGTTAGGATCATTCTAGCATTACGGAATGCTCAAAATATATCGATTTATTGAATGTCTAACTTCAAAGGTCCATCTTGTAGACTCTTTAAACATCTGCGCGTCCTAGTAAGCTCCCTTACATTTGTATGAAGTTGTAACATTCAGAGGACATGTAGAATTTTAACATCGGTTTTATGAAAATTATATCATATTTTGGAATACTATTTTAATGTGGATCTTCAAAGCTCAAGCTCCATATACAAATATACATTTATTTAACACTTCCTGAGCCGTATCGAATTTCACGTTCGAATTGTTCTGCCTTTAGTGTACCATCTATACTCTCAAAATTCTTGTTAAAAACGCTGTATGCGCTAATTTCATTTTGCTTTTTGGGGCCCGTTCGCGTATTAAAGTAAATACCAAACAGTGCAGAAAACATCAGATAAACCAATCCAAACTTCAGTTCAATCGCTATTACGTACAGAGTTATCCAAAAAAGAAGATATACAGTCCAAAGAGTATACTTCAGTACGTTTCCCTCTGTATGGTTTTGGGTTTTGGGAACAGTGTTCCTTTCTTCCACCAATTCGTTTGCACTGGAGGACAGAGATTCATCGTGCGAGTTTTCCTCAAACAATTCGGAGTTGTTGCTTGAAGGCTACCAATAAACAATTTTTTTGATATTAAAGTCATATTTCCTTTTAATCGACATGTCAACATATGCATGAATCTCTATATGCACTTACATACGTGGACGGTACCTGTTGCAAATCGATTTTAGTGTCATTACTAGAGCCTGTGCCAAACATCCAGAATCTGTGAAATTTGTCTTTTATGCTTTCAAGCGTTTCTTTCCTTCGCTTCTTTAGGCGATATTGTTTCAGCTGTTCTTGAAAATCAGCCATATAAATTGTACTACATTAAATGTTGTCAGAATAATAATAACATTATATCGATACATCGAAACTCACATTACGCGATATGTGAAACGAATGAGACACACATTTCGTACATCGATAGGTTAAGAAAGTATTAGTGGCACTCTGTTGACCGAGTTGTGTTGGATTTTGCATCAGTTCATAAGCCAAACGGCTTTGGAGTGAACAAATATTTTCTCAGCGGTTTGAAAATAATTAAATTAAAACATACAGACACACTGGGCAGAATTACTCAAATCAGTAACATTTTCCCTTACGGATTGTATACACATACACATAAGTATCCTGCTTTCCTCCATTAATGGAGGAGTTATAATTGTAACTGTGCCAACTCTTCTGTGGAAGACTAAGAGCCGAGGAATATGTGCGCAGGAAATCTGCGTATAGTCGTCTCAGTACAAGTATATCGCGGCGTTTTATTTTAATTCACAAATTCTTGTAGTCTCCGTAGGAAATCAGACCTGATTTATCCGAAAAAATGTTTGGACGATCTGAGTCCTACGCTTACGACTTTGCCCGGATCAAGGCTTTATAGAGGAGAGAGGAACTCTTTGGGAATTCATAATTTCATTTATTTACACTTCTAGTACTCACTCAATAATATTGTTTCTTTCCCTCAGATATGGGCTTAACAACTATTTGAATACAAGAGCCATCAATCCCGCTAAAAGGAATCTCCTGCTTGTATCCATTTTTTGTTCACTATTTTGCCTGAGCATTGTAACCATGCGTCATGCAGTTAAGACCTCTGGTAACACTCAGCAGCCCGCAAACTGTTTTCGGATCTGAGTGTACTAGGCTTGACGCATTATGTTTGGATCGATCTGGCTATATCTCTCAGATTCCCGAATTAGAATCAGATCGGACTATTATTATAGCCAGAATGAAGAAATTCATTTGCAGTGGCTGCCTCCCGGGGCAACTAAAAGCTAAATGTTTAAATTACAAATTAATATATGTATGTACACTCTTTAAGTACTGGAATAATAAGGATCGTATGCAAAACGAATGATTGTTGTTATTTATAAATAATTTAGTAAGCTTGATTAAACAAATATTAGAAAAACGTGATCGTGTGCATTGCAAAAGTATGTAAACTTGATTTTTATACCCGGTACTCAAAGAGTAAATAGGGTATATTGTATTTGTGTGAATAACGGTTGTATGTAACGCACAGAAGGAAACGTTTCCGTCCCCATAAAGTATATCAGCATCAATAGCCGAGTCGATAGAGCGATGTCTGTCTGTCCGTCCGTCCGTCTGTCCGTCTTGTTTGTCGGCTAGTTCTCAGAGACTATAAGAGCTAGAGCCACCAAATTTTGCATCCAGACTGCTGTATGCTCACACTTAAACCAGTGTATTTCAAAAATTAGCCCCGCCCCGGGGAAAACCTTCCAAACCTACAATTTTGAAGATAAAAGAAAAGTAAAAACGCTATTCCGTAGGGAATGGCCATATATATCAGATCACCAAATTGGGATCCGATTGGATCATTATTATGGCCACAATGAAGAAATTAATTTATAGTGGCTAAACCCACCCTGTCCCAGCTTTTGTTGTTATTTTCACATTCTCTCATTTACACTCTGCTTCTGCATCACTCGGCCCCTGCCTCTGCCGTCCCTCTGCCTTTGCCTCTGCTGACTTTTAACCCACCCCGTCCCTCAGCTTATATATATATATTTTTTTTTTATGCGAGAGCTTTTTTATCTGCCTCTGCCGCTAGTCTGCAGAGTGTGGGTCTAGGGAAGGGGGGCGAGCTAACGGAGCGTGTTCGCGTGAAAAGTATTGTAGATGTAGATGACAGATGAGGACAAAATTAAAAATTTGACAAATAACCGCTAAGGTACAGATGTAGTACTGAGTGCCGGGTATAAAAGTTGTGACGCGGAAGAAGCGTCTCACACGTCCCTTCTCGTTTACTCTGGCTCATAATGTATAATCTCTCAAAGAAGACAGAAAATCAGCCAGGTGGCCATACCGACGACAAGCTTAATTTGAGCATATGTATATGTATTGTGGGATCCGCTTTCTTCTCTATACAAATTGGTTGAATGTGTTTATATTAAAATGTTTTACTTTGTTCTCAAAACTGGTTTGTCTCACTAAACTTGCTCTTGACTTTAGAATATAATGCATAAAAGAAGGTGTTGCAATTGCGCAATGACCAGTCAACAAGATTGTTAGGTAGGCCACGATGCAAAACTCGTTTGAGAGTACTCCCCAGTCTGTACATTCGTGGGACTATGACCTGATATTAGAGAAGATCGGTAAAGTAATTACCATTTGTGACGATTTAACTATACTACATTTTATACTGCGTTTCCAGGTTACGGCAAAACGCAATGGCTACTTTTAATCATTAGTGGATTATTGACGATAACGTCTGTGGCTGCTCAACAATCCATGAGTATTATAGTAATCGCATCGCAATGTGAATTTGAATCAACTCAAGCTGATAAAGGTCTGATGATGGCTGCCTGTGTTGCAGGTGAGTCGAATAAAAAATAGAAATTTGCACAACTAAGAGGACCTTTTTTTAAATCTACAGGACTATTTGTCTCCACCTATATATGGGGATACATCAGCGACGACATTGGGCGTCGAAAAGTTTTACTCTGCGGTGTTTTCGCCAGCAACATATTACAGTTCGTTCTTATGTTCGTTACAAACATTTGGACTTTTAACATAATTAACTTACTCGTTGGTATCAGGTAAGTGAAATATTTTAACAAGTAATTATCATAGTCTATTTAAATAACAACGCTCCTAAAATATATAATTGAGAATGTCGGGGTTTCACACACCCCTTTAATGACATCAAATGCTTGCATAACTGGAGGCTTTATAGATTGAGGTTCGTCGAGATTCACGATGTACACATGCATACATATATGTATTTACATATGTACAAATTCAATTTGATGGTCGACATTTACAAGACCAGACGTGTCCTTATTTTTAAGTACAGTCCATTGTGTCATAAATCTGAAAGCTGTTGTCGTAAACACTACAATTAATTGACATAGTTACAAAATATATTTTTCTTGTGTATGTATTTACAAATAGCATTGGAGGTGTCTCAGCTGCAATATATGCCTATTTAAGTGAATTCAATACACCCAAACATCGAGCAGTTGCTATAAACTATTCAACAATGTTCGTCAGCGTGACTGCAATATATGTTCCAGGTAAGCACAAAAGCAATAATAACTAGGTTAGTGGATATTCTTGCAGACATTGCGTTAATTTAAATTTAAATCTTGAGTAATAAATTCAGTAACAATCTCTGAAATGATAAGCAATGCCGAAAAAATGTAAATGTCTAATAAATAAACATATATTGTTTTCACTTCAGCAAACTAAAAGTACTTTCTGTAATTTGTTTTTGACCTTTAGTGACTGCTTGGATGGTGCTGTCGTCTAACTGGTCCCTCAGCATAGGAGATTTTGTTTTTCGGCCTTGGCGCTTAATTATGTTTATAAGTCTTCTACCTGGACTAATTGGGGGATTGCTACTATTACGGTATCCAGAAAGCCCGAAGCTTTTACTATCGCAAAATAAGATAGACGAAGCAATACAAGCAGTGACTTGGATTTGTAAATTTAATCGAGGCAAATCTCTAAAGGACTTGCTAAATTGTGACGAATTTATGCTAAAATCAGAAGCTGAATCTGTCGAGAATTCGATGGACAATATCCCCAGATTTATTTTATTAAAAATTGCACGTGCAACCGTTCCCCTATTTTATAAGCCCCATGGATTCTACTTTATAATTAGCAATTTGGCAGTGTTTGGGATGTTTTTCAGGTAAAGTGAAAATATAGTATTGCAAATATCAAGCATCCATCTAGTCTTCATCAATTAATTGAAGATAAATATTAAAAAACATCTTCTTTAATTCATGAACATGCATGGTACAATTCGTTTCATTAAACGCCTTACTTACAAATAGTATTTAATTACAGCTCAAATGGTATGCAGTTTTGGTTTCCAGAAATCGTAAATCGGTCATCTGGTTCTCTCAATGACACATCTACCGTTTGCCAAATATTAATGGAGTACGAAACAAAAGCAGAAAATTCAACACTGGTAAATACATATTTTTCGCCCAGGATATAATGGATACTTTTAAACTTCTCTTAATCTTCACATTTTAGGCTTGCTCAGATCACATATCAAGCAAAACATACATAGACAATGCAATTGTTGGGGTCGCCTTTCTAATTGGATTTTCTATTCAAGGCACTCTAATTAATCCTTTGGGTCGGAAAAACGTTCTGATGGCTGCGCTCATAATTGCCACGTTTTCCGGTATTTGTCTTCATTTTTTTGGAAACCGAACGGCAGTACTTGTTTTATTTTGCCTGTATATACTTCTTCCGGGGCTTTCGATTTCCATCATGCTCGGTGCAATAGTTGATCTGGTCCCAACTCACCTACGGTAACCAAATCTAGGATTTAATAACAGTTAGGAATTGTAATCTACACAGTATTTTGATCTATTTTAAACATTTTAGGGGAAAAGCTGTTAGCTTTTGCATGTCCTTGGGACGACTTGGAATCATCGCAGCTACAAACTTAATGGGGCTAATGTTACAGCCATACTGTAATACAACATTTGCAATTTGCAATTTTATTCTCTTTGGTAATTTATTTAATAATGACTAAGATTTAAATATTAACAAGTTTTTGTTTGTAGTGTGTGTCGTACTTGTTTATATCATACCAATCGAGACGTCTACATAGTTTCGGGCGGTACCATTGTACCAACTGATTAAACTTACCTACTTATAATTATTACATTCTTGGAAATAGAGAATGATATATGTGTACATACAATCTTACATACATAATGGAAATGTTACGTTTTGAAAAGTTGAAATACACTAAGAAGTTTGTAACTTACATCTTCCTATATTAGATTTACTATTGGCTTGCTTAGTCTCCCTGTAGCCGGGAGGCCCTGTGCCCTTCCCCTACCCTCCCATCCACTGCCAA